CAACATCACTCTTTACTCGGGCTTCTTCCTGTAGCTTAACATCACCTAGAAAAAACCAAAGTAAAAAACTCAGCGGATCTCTCAAAAGGTTAGGATAGAATATTGACTACTCGCGCGTGCGTATCTCTCTCTCACGATATATCGTCAACCTACACTCACTCTCTCTCTCATGATAACAGGGATTGAAATTCAAATCTAATTTGCTGGAAAGGTACGGGATGAAATGGATTTCTTCTCTTTAATCTTAAACTCCACGTTTACCTAATAAAAACATAAATTCCCGGGATTTCTCCGCCGAGCGCACTGCCTACTCACTGCTTTCTCTATACTCGTTTTCAACGATCACGCTCTACAATCCACGCAACATCACGGCATTTTATTTTCACCTGCAACATGCCACGCTTATATCATCCGCTAAATATTACGTCCAGATCCCTTAGTAAATGTTTTTACAGCACGCGAGACCTCACGCTTTCATTCACGCAACATCACGCTTACATCACCGCAACATCACGCTTACATCACGACAACATTACGCTTACATCTCCGCAACATTACGCTTACATCACCGCTCAACAATCGCTCCTCACAATCACCGCACATTATCGCTTACCAGCACGTGCACATCCACGCTGAAATTCATCACGGGTAGCATCACCGCCTTACATCATCCGCAAACATCACGCTTACTCACGGCTTATACATACGGTTACATCTTCCGCTATATATTACGCTTATTTTCACGGGCCCACATCACGCTTACATCACCGCAACATCACGCTTACATCACCGCAACATTACGCTTACATCACCGCAAAATTACGCTTACCAACTATGTGTTGCCGAATAACCTGCGAAATTTGGGTCCAATCGCAATTGACAACATAAAGTCGGTAGTGTAAACCCAGCTTTATATTTAACTCGCTCAAAGTTGTCAAACCGATTAAAGTACCACATTATTATATTTACATTACTAAAATTACACATAATTATTAGCTGCACGCTCTGTCATTTATCTTGTACACTACTGTGAATATCAACAAAAAGTTCTTATTCCTAGATTCATATCAGATGCGACACCAGTCGAAAATCACGCTTACATCACGCCATATAGCACGTTGACATCACGTGACGCCATTGTGACATCACGGCAACATCACGCTTACATCACGGCAATATCACGCTTACATCACGGCAATATCACGCTTACATCACCGCAACATTACGCTTACATCACGGCAACATTACGCTTACATCACGGCAACATTACGCTAGCGTTACGGTTGACAGCTGGTATTCTCATTAGATAGACGTTCGGAGTTTTTCTCACTATCCGCACGTATAGGCGCGACAGTGCATGTCGACTGTATATTAATCCCCTAACACATTCCTCCTCACTATCGCATTCATCCAGCCACGATCAGTCGCGCCGGATGCGATGTATTTTATCGCCGGAACTTTGAAATCAGGATTGTGAGCGCAGAGCGGAGAGACCGCCCGTCGGGCTGCATGCCAATCGAATTACGATGCTTCCCACCACACGCTTCCATCCTCTCTCGCTTCTTACACACAAACATACATACACACACGCACGTACACACATATACACCCGCACACACACACACATACACACACACATACACACACACACACACACAGCGATACACACACACACACACAACGACAGGCACCACACACAACACACACAACACACACACACAACCAACAGTCCTGCATTAACAACGCGACTTCACTCGCTAAGTAATATAGACTTGATGTTTTGTCCGGGCGCTGTCAGAGCGACTGCACTTCGCACACGCACTTGGAGTGTTTCAATAAAAAAAAGTCACGCTAAATAAACACGAAATGTATTTACTACCAGAGTCTTAATGTTTCTCTACTCTCGTTCTGCCCATTATCGCTGATAAATTTTCTGTAAATGCCGTTCAAATGCTCCTCTGCAACACATAGGAGCCATACGCACGCCGCTGCATATTTACAATTATATTTACAAAGTATAAATATAAGTATAAGTATAAGTACAAGTATAAGTATAAGTACAAGTACAAGTACAAGTATAAGTATAAGTATAAGTATTAGTATAAGTATAAGTATAAGTATAAGTATAAGTATAAGTATAAGTATAAGTATAAGTATAAGTATAAGTATAAGTACAAGTATAAGTATAAGTAAAAGTACAAGTATATGTATGAGTGTGAGTATAAGCACATATATATCAAGAGTACATCATAGAGAGATCTCTATATGATGATAGATCTCTCTATTATGTACTTTTGATATATATATATATATATATAATTATATCAAGAGCTAATAATATTAATATTATTAGCTCTTGATATATATATATATAAGTAGTATATAATAAGTGTAAATGTACAGCGGCGTGCGTGCGGTGTACCTATGTGTTGCAGAAAAACAGTTAAACAGCATTTACAGGACGCTATTGACAATAATAGGCGAAAGAGAGTAGAGAAACATTAGGACTTTGGTATTAAATACATTTCGTGTTTATTTAGCGTTATATTTTATTGAAACGCTCCAAGTGCATGTGGCCCTTCGGGCATATTTAGGGAGGGATATGAAAAATGGCGCATCACGCGTGCAAATAACATGAACAAATTTGTTAACAAAATAGGCGATTGTTATAGGTATTTGTTTATAACTTCAGGTCACGTACGAGAGTCTATTTCTACCCCTTTCTCTTTTTTCTTACTAACTGTCTGGTTCTCTCTTCTTCTCTCTCAATCTTTTTTCTCTTTCTGCCCCTCTATCTATTAATATATCTATGTATCTCTCTCGCTAGTTCTTTCATAGACACACAGACACACGCACACGCACACGCACACGCGCGCCGCGCGCGCGCACACACACATCACACACACACAGCACACACATACACACACACACACACACAAACACACACACACAAACACACACACAAACACACACACACACACACACACACAAACACACACACACACACGCACACACACACGCACGCACACACACACGCACGCACGCACGCACACACACGCATACGTGCGCAGGCAGGCATCCATAGACACGGAGAAGTCACGAAAATGCACAAGTATTTTTATGAAAACATTTCTATTGTTATTTAATATACATTTTTCTTCGAGAACCAACCTTTACGGGTGAATGATTACAGGGAAAATTCGATTGAGATATGCAAAGTAAGCTGAGTCGTTTCACTCTGTTAATCAGCACCAATCCAGTATGCGTTATTCTGTTTGCTGAGACATTTATCGTGGAATAGCTGTGATCTTATAAGAGACTGGATGCTGCACGAGACCGTCGGTTCTTCCATATATATATCCATAAGCACGGTCGTAAAGTGTGTACCTGCACTGGCAGTGCCTGTATAAAACATCACGTCTACATTTCCATGTTCCATGCCATTGACGAGTGCGTATTTAATACAAATCGGGCAAACGCAGCCCCGCATGTAAACAGTCTGCTCACAAAGGAGAGTGTTTACAAGGCTCTAACGATGGCGGTTATAAGTGTAGCAACGTGGCTCGCGCTTATGAACTTGACTATTGTAGCTCTTTCAGGTCCAATAAGAGATACCGGTCTATCAAGTGGGTGCACAAGCATGAGACTGCTCGTCTTTTTGTAGTGGCCCTAGAGGCGGCCGACTACGGTTCGACAGACGTTGTTTAGTAACGCGTGCCCCAGTGGTGGGATTCAGTGTTCGCTCCCGCCGGTGTAACAGGCGGGACGGTGATGTCGCGTAGCAGATAACAGGTAGCACCAAACGAACAGAACACCGTGAGATTCGGTTAACGGTACGGTTATATAGCTTTTATTGCGTGTTACTAGTGTACAAATGATTCCCCTGCATTCGTATAGGCAGCGGCCAGCAGGCCTTCTATCGATCTCGTCTAATATTTACGCGTCGCCGGTTTCGTCTTCTTCTCTCACGTTCGTCCTCGCTTCGCGTGGACCTAAGCAGTCTCCCAGGTATCTCCCTCGCAGTCGCTCCTAGCTCTACCTAACCAGAATGCTGTTCTTCGCTGCTCTCGTTTTATTCCCCCTCTCCCGTTCGGCTCCGGTTTACACCTACCTAAAATCCTGTGCTTCTTCCCTATCTCTCTGACGCTTTCTCGCTCCCTCGCTTCTTCTTCCTCCTCTCCTTCGCCTTCTTCTTCTTCCTACCTAGACCTGAAAATAATGCTTCTCCCTCTTTCTCTTCGTCCTCGGCTGCTTCCTCTCCTTCTCCTTCTTCTTCTTCTTCTTCTTCTTCCTGGACCTGAAAATAACTGCTTCTCCCTCTTTCACACACACACACCCACACACCCACACACAGCCTCCCCACGAGAGTGTTGATAATACAATGTTATTGTGCCAGATTTCAGCCGATCGCCCCTTTATTCACAGCGGACGGTTTCTACACGTGTTTGCACGGTTTGCGCTCTCGTGTTAATGTCGATGATTCGGAAGGTTCGGAAGCAGACGTCTACAGCGAGTCCAGATTCGCCAAACTACACTTATTCAGCGCGACCGGGAACGACACATTAGGGAAGAGAATGTCCTGGGAGGACAGACCTGGGTCAGCATTACAGGATGTGGTTTCACTGGATTATTTGCGAAATGCAGATACGAAAGAAGCTACAGGCGCTCTGGATTTCTCAATCCAATCCAATCGCATCGCCCTAATGCACCTATTGAAATTTTAAACTGATAAAGGAACACAAGTTTACCTGTTTACCCCCAACGTCTCCACGCTAGTCCCACCGGTGTGTAGAAAACCATAATCACCACCTCACCAATTAGATTCTCTGAGAGATAATTACAAGATTTTAAGAGTGCGACGTGAGCTTATGATAATGTATCTATATCGCGATCTGTACTGTTGCGATACTGTTACTTAATAAATCCATGTAGATCTATTATAGGATTGAGATTTGGAGTTAGGGTTAGGATAGCAACGTACTAACGAAGGACCAACGTACCGAGTCCTTGTTTGTCCTTGGAGCCGGAGCCTTGGTAGTTTGGGTTGTAGACGAGCGGTATTGTCTCGTTACGAACTATTTTTTTGCACTTGTGCGCCGCCTCGTCCGAATCATTCCGCCGCCGCTTCAGGCGGGTCCAGTAACAGCGGCCGACGACGATGGCGATGATGGCGATGATGAGAGTAGCGCCGACCGCGGCGCTGATGGCGATGTACACCTGCATGTGAGAGCGTGAGACAGAGACTGAGACTGCGTGTTCGTGTATATATATATATATATATATATGAACATGACTTGATCCTGCTGCCAGAGGACATGCATCCTGGG